CTACTTACATTGCAGTTGCATTGTATTTGTTATTACCTAGAAGTAATGTAAAGAACACCGGCAAGGTGGACATTGTGGCACAGTGGGTTAAGCTTCCGCTTGGGACATCCATATCCCCTATCAAAGCACCTGGTTTGAGCCCCAGTTGCTCCACTTCTCATGGGCTTGGAAGGCAGCGGAGGATGGTTCAAGTATTTGAATTCCTGTCACCTCTGTGGGAGACCCGGATGGAGTCCCAGCTCCTGACTTCAGCCTGGCCCAGCCCCAGCCGTTGTGGCCATTTGCGGAGTGAACTAGTAGGGGGGGATCTTTCTCTTTCTGACATGTATGAATGTTTTAAAAAGTTTTAAAAATTGAATCCAGGGGCTGGCACTGTAGCGCAGAGGGTTAACGCCCTGGCCTGAAGTGCCGGCATCCCATATGGGGGACGGTTCGAGACCCAGCTGCTCCACTTTCAATCCAGCTCTCTGCTATGGCCTGGGAAAGAAGTGGAGGATGGCCCAAGTGCTTGGGCCCCTGCACCCACATGGGAGACCCGGAAGAAGCTCCTGGCTCCTGGCTTCGGATCAGCGCAGCTCCAGCCTTTGCAGCCATCTGGGGGGAAACAGCAGATGGAAGACCTCTCTCTCTCTTTCTCTCTCTTTTTCTCTCTCTTTCTCTCTGCTTCTCCTCTCTCTGTGTAACTCTTTCAAGTAAAATTAACAAAAAAAAAATTGAATCCAGGGGCTCTGGCGCTGTGGTGTAGAGGGTAAAGCTGCCACCTGCAGTGCCGGCATCCTATACGGGCGCCGGTTTAAGCCCCGGCTGCTCCACTTCTGATCCAGCTCTCTGCTGTGGCCTGGAAAAGCAGTGGAAGATGGCGCAAGTCCTTGGGCCCCTGCACCCGTGTGGGAGACCCAGAAGAAGCTCCTGGCTTCGGCCGTTGAGGCCAGTTGGGGAGTGAACCAGCGGATGGAAGACCTCTCTCTGCCTCTCCTCTCTCTGTGTAACTCCGACTTTCAAATAAATCCAGAAGGAAGTGCACAGGTTATCTGTAGATGCTACACCATCATATTATGCTGCAAAGCCGAGGTCACATCATGCCCCTCGCCAGGTCCCTCCAGCCACTCTGAGTGTGGGACATTCCCTCGGCGTCTGCCTTCACAAAACTGACAACAGAAAGCCTCTTGAGGCCGGCGCCACGGCTCACTAGGCTAATCCTCTGCCTAGCGGCGCCGGTACACGGGGTTCTAGTCCCGGTCGGGGCGCCAGATTCTGTTCCGGTTGCCCTTCTTCCAGTCCAGCTCTCTGCTATAGCCCGGGAGTGCAGTGGAGGATGGCCCAAGTGCTTGGGCCCTGCACCCCATGGGAGACCAGGAGAAGCACCTGGCTCCTGCCTTCGGATTAGCCCGGTGCGCTGGCCACAGCGCACCGGCCGCGGCGGCCATTGGAGGGTGAACCAACGGCAAAGGAAGACCTTTCTCTCTGTCTATCTCTCTTACTGTCCACTCTGCCTGTAAAAAAAAAATAAAACCACGTCTCGCTGTTGGTTCATTTGCGCTTCCTCCGAGTCCACCTGGCCTCGCGGACCAGTCAGAACCGAAGTGAATCAACGTGGGATCTTCCCGACGCGGCACCTGACACCTGGTGATGCCTACCTCGCTGCCTGGTGAAGCTGACCCCCATTCAAAGGGAAAATAGTGCTTTCTGGGCGCAGACTTTGAGAGGGTGTAAAACATTCTTTTTCTCATCATGCTTTTGTCTGCTAATTTTTTCTTAAAGATTTATTGAGTTATTTGAAAGGCAGAGTTACAGAGAGGCAGAGACAGGGAGAGGTCTTCCATCTGCTAGTTCACTCCCCAGTTGGCCAGAATGGCCAGAGATGTGCTGATCCGAAGCCAGGAGCCAGGAGCTTCTTCTGGGTCTCCCATGCGGTGCAGGGGCCCAAGGACTTGGGCCATCTTCCACTGCTTTCCCAGGCCGTAACAGAGAGCTGCATCAGAAGTGGAACAGCAGGGACTCGAACCAGTGCCCATATGGGATGCCGGCACTGCAGGTGGTGGCTTTACCCACTATGCCACAGCACATAGACCAGCCCTCCTTGTCCTTGGCTTTGACCAACAGAATGTCCCACAAACTCCCTTCCTGGAAAGTTCCCTCTGGTAGCTGGTTGCCATGCAGAGCTTCGGAAAGGCCACGCTTCAGGGAGACAGTGAGCGAAGCTGGATGAACACTGAAGCGCCTGCCTGTGAGTGAAGTCTCTGTGGACTCTCTAGCCCTGCCCAGTGGCCTGCCGGAAGCTGCTGAGGGAATGACTTCAAGCAATGCAGCACAGAGCAGAAGAGCCTGCCAGCCAAGCCCTGCCCCATTCCCTACCCGCAGATCCCTGAGCAAGTTACTGATTGATTGATTTGAGAGGCACAGTTACAGAGAGAATCAGAGACAGAGAGAACTCTTCCATCCACTGGTTCACTTCCCAAATGATCACTACAGCTGGCGCTGGGCCAATCTGAAGCCAGGAGCCAGGAGCTTCTTCTGGGTCTCCCATGTGGGTGCAGGGTCCCAAGCACTTGGGCCATCTTCCACTGCTTTCCCAGGCCATAGCAGAGAGCTGGATCGGAAGTGGAGCAGCCGGGACTCAAACCAGTGCCTATACGGGATGCGGGCACCATGGGCAGAGGCTTAACCTACTAGGCCACAGCACAGGCCCCGAGATGGTTATTTTAAGTCACTAAAGTTTGGGAACATTTATTTCATAGCAATAGATAACCCAGGACTGGCGCTGTGGCTCACTTGGTTAATCCTCTGCCTGCGGCACCAGCATCCCATATGGGCGCCAGGTTCTAGTCCCGGCTGCTCCTCTTCCAGTCCAGCTCTCTGCTGTGGCCAGGGAGTGCAGTGGAGGATGGCCCAAGTGCTTGGGCCCTGCACCCGCATGGGAGACCAGGAAGAAGCACCTGGCTCCTGGCTTTGGATCGGTGCAGCGCTAGCTGTGGTGGCCATTTGGGGGGGGGGGTGAACCAATGGAAGGAAGACCTTTCTCTCTGTCTCTCTGTCGTAACATCTGTCTGTCCGATTACCGTAAAAGAAAAGAACAGGATACCAAACATACATGTCTGTTATATCTTTATTACAGGAAATTAAGTGTATTTGATTACAGTGCCACTCTAGCACTAGGGTGTTAAATAATATACAGCATATGCATAATTTACCTTTCTAAATTATAAAAAAAAAAAAACAAACAACCTCTGAGTCCTGAAATCCCTTGGGCCCCAGGGTTTTGAGGATTGTCCTTTGTATTACAGAAATAGAGTTGTGTAGACTTCCTTCCTGTCTTAGGAATTCATTAATGTCACGCGCGGCGCCTTGGGTGCCCCCGCCATTGCCCATGTCTCTCACCTGCCCAGTCTAACCCGCGGCTCTCACACTAGGGCTGGCCTCAGTGTCTTTGGGGGGCTCCTGAGCCCGCCCTCATTTTCTGACGCAGTGGCCGTGGGGCGTTCTGGAGAACTTTGACAAGTTCCCAGTGGATGGGGAGGCCACTGGTCCTAGGGACACATTCTGACAACCACTGTGCTAGGGAGAGTGGCATCTCGGAGTTCTGATGCGTTTACCCACCGACCAGCCCAAGCTGCCAAGCACATGGCCGGGCGCAGGACTTCCCCAAATCTTCACCTTGCCCACGCCTTTGAAGTCTCGGCGTCCTGGGCCCCAGACTGGGAGAAGCCAATGTCTTGTTTCATTCTCGTCACTGCTTCGTAGTTTTTGCATTCTTCTCTGCACATTTGTGGAAGATGAAATGTCCCTTCTCACCTTTTTTTTTTTTTTTTTTTTTCAACCTGGCTTGGAATAGCTCAGGGGGAACGGGACGCCTACTCTGCAGACCCAAAGCTACCCTATGTTTGGGCCCAAGGGGATCACCTCTTCCCGGACGTGGGTGCCGGAGACAATGTTCCTTTAGCGAAACAGGAGGGACTCGACCGAGGATGGGCCGGAAGCCCCGTGCCAGAGCCTGCACAGTACAGACCTATGACCAAGGCCCGGGAAAGCAGGGCCACACGCGGTGACCCCACGGCCGCCCCGTGCAAGCGCGCAGGTCCCGGTGCGGGTCTCCCAAGGGGCCTCCCTCACCAGGGCGCGTGGCTGCTCGCCTGCCCCAGGGTGTGTCACAAGCGCCACTCGACCCAGTGTTCCAGGGGCAACGGGGGGCGATACGTCCCGACCAGCGACCCCGCACCTCTGCCCCCTGCCACCCACTCCGGGCTCCTCCGTCTCGCGCCACGGAGCCGCGGGGAGCGCCTGGACGCGTCTCGCCCTCCGAGCGCAGAGATTAAGTGGGTTCCTCGAATTGTTCCCAACAGGAGGGGCAGGAAATAGCGCCGGGACTCGGTGGCGGCCGCGGGGGCCCCGCCCAAGTCACCACCCCGGCCCCGGCCCCGGCCAGGTGGAAGCACACAGGTCAGCGGCCGCAGCGGCCCCAGGGGGCGGAGCCTTTCGGACGCGCGGGCCGGCGGCTGCGACCCCCCACCTCCACCCCCCCCCCAGCTTTCCCCTCCGCGCCCCCAGCCCCTCGGAGACCTCGGGCGCGACCCCCGGGCGCCCTTTCCGCCGCGGGTCTCCAGCAACAGGTGAGGCGGCCGCCAGCCCGCGGCGCCTCCGCGGGGCGGTCCCTGCGCCGCCCGCCTCGCGCCCGCCCCTCTCCACGCCCCCTCCCCTCCTCCCGGCCTCCGCCGCCCGCCGCGCCCGGCGGCCTCCCCTCGCTCGCTCGCTCGCTCGCTCGCTCTCCGCCTTTTCCCTCGGGCCCCCGCGCAGCCCCCGAGCCACGCGCCCAGCAGCGGGGGTGGCGCCGCGCGCTCGCGGGACACGCGCGGCGCCTGGACGGGCCCGGGCGGGCGACCCCCGGCGCGCTCCCCTCCCCCTAGACGTTTCACACGCGCTCCCGCCACCCGGGGGCGCAGGGCCGCGTGCGCAGCCCCGGCCGCGCCGGGGGTCGCCGGGGCGCGAAGATGGAGGAGCCGCCGCGCGGGCGCTCGCACACGGTCACCACCACCGCCAGCTCTTTCGCCGAGAACTTCTCCACCAGCAGCAGCAGCTTCGCCTACGACCGGGAGTTCCTCCGCACCGCGCCGGGGCTCCTCATCGTGGCGGAGATCGTGAGTGTCCGGCGGGCCGGGGCGGGAGGCTCGCGCGCAGGTGGGCCCCCGTGCGCGCACCCGCCCGCCGTGCTGCTCGGGACGGAGTGTGCGTGGTCCCATAGGTGGGCTTGAGGTGCAGCCCGTCTGGGCTCTTTTGCTGGGAGAGACGGTCGTGACCCCCGGGACGTGGGTGGGCAGTGGCCGATGCTGGTTGCGGGATGCTTAGTGGGCACTGGGTGACGGGGACACCTGGTGCCTCCCTCACCTGATCTCCACGCGGATGGGCTCCGCTCTGAAAGCGAAGCGTTCTGAGCTTGGGGGGTGGGGGGAGGAGACAGCTTCCTGCTTTTCCTCATTATCTCCCCGGAGGGAACATTGAGGAGAACCAGGACAAATTGCTGAGCGCGTCAACTCCAAATCTCCTGCCTGGTGCTGTGCACATCCCGTGTGGGTGCAGAGCGTGCGAGAAAGGAGGCAGAGGGGTGCCTCCCCCTCTCCCCTGGAGGTGTCCCCAGAAGCCCCCCCCCCCCTTCCTTGCTGGGACAGAAAGGTCTGGAGCCCTGTCGGCAGCTGGTAGGGGTCACCCTCTGTAGACTCTGCACCCGGCCTGGCCAGCCCGTTCCTTGCCCTCCTGCGCTTGTGCAATGCCTACAGGAGCCGTCCCCTGTGGATGGTGGCGCTAGGGTCCAAGCCCCACCTTGCTCTCCCAGGCCCTGCTCTTAACGCTCCGGGGGCGTCCCTTCTGCTCTGTGTCCCAGAGTCTGCTTTCGGCAGGCGTGCTGCTGAAGGTCAGCTTGTGCGGGAGCTGTCGCGGTGCGGAAGTGACCGAAGGCTGCCCTCCCGGCCCTTTGGGAATCTTTCAGGCAAACGTGTCCAGCAGGCCGCTCGCTTGCCCCTGCAGCCCCAGAGCGCGGTCCACACCCGCTCCATCCGTGCACCCAGAGTGGGACCCCAGGGGTCCCCTCGGCTGGGCTGAACCCGGCAGGGGGCCCAATCAGAAGCTGCAGGCCTTGGAGCCACCTTCCAGCGCCTGGATTTCAGGAGTTCCACAAATATTTGCTGTGTGCATAGGGGAGTTGGCAGGCTGTGTTTGGGCAGGGCAAACAACCTGACATGACACGGCGGGCTTTCTACCCTGGGCTACGTGTGGAGCAGGCATCAAGTACAATGCCTCTTGCTTTCTGATTTATCTTCAGAATGCACCGTGTTCCAGACTTTCTCGGAAAACGTGCAGGGAAGACATATTGGCAGCCCATGCTGCCATCCCTAGAAAGAAGCGCATGTGGGCGTGTGTCCTTTGAGATTTTAGGAACTTTCTGGAAGCGCAGACGGGCACATAAGCAAAGCTGCCCTCATGACGGCTTGGGCCGAGTCTTTGTCCGCATTCATTCGGCACAGGTTGGAGTCCGGCCGTGCTGCTGCAGATGTCCGCCTCCCTCCCTCGCTGTCGCCACACCTCGGGGGCTCCCCAGTTGTACGCATGCGCCGTTGCCTTCCTGCCTGCCGGTGGGGCGTGTTGGCTCTCCTGGGTCGCCTTCCCCCACCTTTTACGTCAAGGGGTCTTCAAAGCCTCCTGGACAATGCATGTTGTGAGCGAACCCTGTGTCCAGGCGTTCTTTCCACCAGAATAACTTTGTATTTCAATTCCATTTTCCCATGAGCTTTTGGAAGTGCCCGCGTATGCCTTACTCATCTCCCACCATGGCCATCAGGTGGTTTGGGTTAGAACAACAGCTCACCTATGGCGCCAAGACACTGTGCACCCCTGGCCACCCGGCAGCCTGGGGGAGCTTCCCCTTGTTCTTCCTGATGTCATTCTCTCCTTCTGAGTCATAGTTCTCCAGGTAGTAAATGCTGGTTCAGCCCTGGATGTCCAACCCTCCTCCAGTTAGCCGAGCAACCCCTCCCCCCACCTGCCTGGTGGCCTGTGCCCGCTTGGGTCCCTCTGAAGGCTGTCATGTCCAGAGCTCTCCTCTGCCACCTGGAGTGACACACAGGTCTCTAGTGGGCTCATGGAAATTGAGACTTGGATTTTTTTTTTTTTTAAGATTTATTTGTTTATTTGAAAGGAAGAGTTACAGAGAAGCAGAGGCAGAGAGAGAGAGAGATCTTCCATCTGCTGGTTCACTCCCCAAATGGCCACAGCAGCCAGGGCTGGGCTGATCCGAAGCCAGGAGCCAGGGGCTTCTTCCGGATCTCCCGCGTGGGTGCAGGGGGCCTTAGAGTCATCTGCTGCTGCTTTCCCAGGCACAGTAGCAGGGAGCTGGATCAGAAGTGGAGCAGCCAGGACTCGAACCAGCACCCACGTAGGAGGCAGGCGCTGCAGGCGGAGGCTTTACCCTCTCCGCCGGAGGCTTTACCCTCTCCGCCGCGGCGGCGGCCCCCAGACTTGCACGTAATGAATAGACTGAATGGTTGGTTGGAAATTCCTGTTCTTCGGAATGTTGGAAGTATCCATCTGCCGTCCTTTAGCGATCCTCAGTTTTATTCGAGTCTTCGCTCCCCCCACCTCTCCCTGGAAGCCCACAGAACCTGCTTTCTGCCCAGAGACTGGAAATACCACAGGGACCAGTGTGTGTTCCTCCCTAGCACCGGCGCCTGGTGTCTTCTCTCCAGGAGGGAAACACGTTCACCTCGAGGAGAGGGACTTTCTTTTTGCTTTGTCTCTCTCCATTTTCTCAGTTCTAAAACTTTGTATTTTCCCCTACGCATGTATATGCCTGTGATTCTTTTTTTCATGCTGATTTGCGGCCTGCTTCTTGTATTCTGTGCCATGGGCGCTTCTCGGGGCTTGTGTCTCCTGAGTGGTTACAGTTTCTGCCAGCAGTAAGGACTTCCCGTGCTGGCCTTCCTCAGTCCTGCTCCTGTAGTAGAGTGTACAGTACGTGCTGTTTCTCGTATAATCAGTGCTGTCACGGCCTCCTTTGTCTTTCCACATTTGCGCAGTGGTTTTTCTCGAGGGAAAGCTTCTTAGAGTGGAATTGTTGGGCCCATGGGTGTGCACATTTTAAGATTTTGTGACGTGTTATCAGGTCATTTTCCCCAAACTTTTTTTTTTTAAGATAACCTTTATTTTTCTTTTTAAAGATTTATTTATTTGAAAGTCAAAGTTACACAGAGAAAGAAGGAGAGGCAGAGAGAGAGGTCCTCCATCCGCTGATTCACTCCCCAATTGGCTGGAACGGCCAGAGCTGTGCCAATCTGAAGCCAGGAGCCAGGAGCTTCCTTCTGGTCTCCCACATGTGTACAGGGGCCCAAGCACTTGGGCCATCTTCTACTGCTTTCCCAGGCCACAGCAGAGAGCTGGATCAGAAGTGGAGCAGGGCTGGCGCCGTGGCTCAATAGGCTAATCCTCCACCTGTGGTGCCGGCACCCTGGGTTCTAGTCCCAGTCGGGGTGCTGGATTCTGTCCCGGTTGCCCCTCTTCCAGTCCAGCTCTCTGCTGTGGCCAGGGAGTGCAGTGGAGGATGGCCCAAGTGCTTGGGCCCTGCACCCGCATGAGAGACCAGGATAAGCACCTGGCTCCTGCCATCGGATCAGCGCGGTGCGCCGGCCGCAGCTGCCATTGGAGGGTGAACCAACGGCAAAAAGGAAGACCTTTCTCTCTGTCTCTCTCTCTCTCTCACTATCCACTCTGCCTGTCAAATAGATAAATAAAAAAAAAAGAAGTGGAGCAGCCGGGACTCGGACAGGCGCCCATATGGGATGCCAGCACTGCAGGCGGTGGCTTTACCCGCTACACTATGGCACCGGTTCTAAGTTCTACTGGTTTAAATTGTCATCAGTAGTAGCACAAATCTATTAGGTTAAACACATAAGGATACTTTTGAAAGTTCACGGAACAGTGGAATAGAAAGATAAGTGTGTTTTGGTGCAAAACAATTTGCTGTCTATGCATAGTTTTTTCATAATATTCATTTTCCACAAACTTTTAAGAAAACTATTTACTTGAAAGGCAAAGAAACATAGAGAGAGAGACTGATACAGATCTTCCAGCTGCTGTTTATTTCCTAAATGCCCACATCAGCCTGGGTGGGGCCAGCTTGAAACCACAGGTGGGGAGATCCACGTAGGTGTCAGGAATTCAATTACCTGAGCCACCCCTGCTGGGTGTACATTAGCCAGAGCTGGGGCTTGAACCCGGGGACTCTGGTACAGGGTGTGGGTGTCCCAGGCAGTGGTTCACCTGCTGTCCCACATGCCCCCCTGTCCCCCCAGACTTTCAAGACTGCCTGTTTGTATGGATTTCATTTTTTTTTGTGCTAAAATGAAATTATGTTTTAATTTAATTTTCCATAAAGTTTTCTTTCACAATTTAAATTTGTTTATTTATTTGAGAGGCAGAGGAGAATGATGGCGCTCACATCTGCTGGTTCACTCTCCAAATACGCCCAGCAAGCGGGGTGAAGCCGGGAGCCGGGAACTCCATCCGGGTCTCGCGTGTGGGTGAGCTGTCACCCCTGCCCCCCAGGTGTGTGCTTTAGCAGGAAGCTGGGAAAGGGAGTGGGGCCAGGATGTGCCCAGGCACCCAGGCACCCAGGCACCCAGGCACCCAGGCACTCCAGACACCCAGGCACCCAGGCACCCAGGCACCCAGGCACCCAGGCACTCCAGGCACTCAGGCACCCAGGCACCCAGGCACCCAGGCACCCAGGCACTCCAGGCACCCAGGCACCCAGGCACCCAGGCACTTAGGCACCCAGGCACTCAGACACCCAGGCCCTCAGGCACCCAGGCACCCAGGCACCCAGGCACCCAGGCCCTCAGGCACTCCAGGCATCCAGGCACCCAGGCACCCAGGCACCCAGGCACTCAGGCACTCAGGCACCCAGGCACCCAGGCACTCCAGGCATCCAGGCACTCAGGCACCCAGGCACCGAGGCACCCAGGCACCCAGGCACTCCAGCGGCTGTCTTACCTGCTGCACCACAAACTTTTGGAAGCACTTTGTACTTTTTTTAAATTGGATAAATTCTTAAAATTAAAAATGAGATACCGTGAAATTTTTTTAAAGATTT